CGGCCCCGCCGATCGGGCCCGTGGTTGCCGGGTAACCGCGAACGCGGCCAGCGCGGCTGTGGCGCTGCTGCTCCAGGCTCTGTCCGTGCAGAACGCGCTCCTGGCTGGGTGTTCGCAGCCTGGGCTCGGGCACGAGACTGCTCTGGGCGATTCGCCGAGAGAATTTTCACAGAGAGCATTGCGAGTTTTCAATTGGCAGAGCATTGGTCTCTGCGAGGATATCCTGAATTGCGTTTGAAGGTAAAGATTGACTAAAGTGGTACTTTGTGGCTTTGTCACATCTGTGCTCTCTGAAAGAGAATGCCAAAGGGAAATACAGGGTGTGATAGTGCCAGACTGCTGGTGCAGCAGTTCAGTGGCAGGTTCAGCTGAGTGGATGAGCAATGTCTGGTCTACTGATTGTGCTTTGTTCACTAAAGAAACACAACATTTTCTAAATACAACAGTCTGTCCATTTTTACCTATAATGATTACTTAAATATTCAAGTTTCAGTGGGATCTTATCATCTGGTTATTAAAATTATTAGGCACATGCCCCTGAATCAAGGTGTAAACAAGACCATATGACAAAGTTAATAGTCTGAATTTTATGTAACAATAAATGTAAGGAAGAGAGAAAGAAATAGAAAAGGGGAGTGGGGTGAAGAAGGAGGAAGAAAGAAAGTGACAGAGACAGATTAAGTAGAAAATATCATTATTCCATGGATCCCATTGGAATACCATAAAATCCTCTTCTGGTCTTCTGAGTGGTGAGGTGTCACAGATCGTAAGACTCCAATGGATGAACACAGATTTGGGCAAGGTGGGACTGCCTCTCTGGGACAGGGCAAGTTTGACTCTGTCTCTTGCTACTTTCAAATAATACAAAATCTTCAGCACCATTATATCCTTTGAGGCTGCCATGAACCAGGTTGTGGGTTTTCAGAGTTCTGTTCTTGCTCCTTCCAGTTTTGTTGAGGCATTGTTGCGCATCTGTGACATCGTCTCTTCAAAATGGCTTCTGGACTCCCGAAAAAGACACCAACACCTCGTCTTTTGTTCAGGGAAAAACTGAAGCCTGCTAATGTAAGTACCCTCTGGGGCTGTGTTAAGGCTGGAAACGCCACTGGTGTCCCTCCTCTCCCTGCCCCTCCTGTTGTCCAGCAGCACTGTGAGGCTGCAGAGCCCTCCCCAGCTCTCTGTGCCGTGCTCCTGTTGCTGGGGGCTGTCCTGGTGCAGTTGGGAACACCGTGTGTTGCTCCAGGGACACTCCAGTGTCTTCCCTGGCTGTGCCACCGGGGCCAAGTGAAACCAATGTCCAGCTGGAGCCCTGAGCATGCGCTTCTCTCCCTGCCCTTTGTCACAGCAATTCCTTCTGTCAGGCTGGACACTCACCTGTGCTGCTCTGGCCAACGTGCCCTTGGGCACCTGGGCATGTGGGTGGGGGGGAAGCTCCAACTCTGCCCAAAGCCTTGAGAGACACGGCTGGTCCCAGCCAGAAGAGGTTCCAGAGCAGCTGTTCTCTCTCATCTCCTGCGTGGGGCACAGATCCAGCCCTGCAGACAGCACTGGAGTCAGGGCCACAAAGGTCCCTTGGCTGTCTGGAGCTCACTTGACTGAAGATGCCCTGCTGCTGAGGCTCTGTCAAGGACATCCCTCTGTTTTCTTCTGTGGAGGGCTGTGTGAGCCCAGAGAGAGAAAGCAAATGCTAATTAACAGAGAGAACTAGAACTTGGACTCATTCCTGCGCACCTCACTCTTGGTACCACTTTGCTTTCTTGTGTCTCTTGGACTCACCCAGCAGCACTATCTCCTCACTGTGAGTTTTGAGTGTTGTGCAGGGATGGAGTCAGGGGAGTTCTGAGAACTCCTCCCCACTCTCTGAAAAGGTCACTGCCTCAATCCAATGGAACTAAAGAGGAAACAAATGCCCAAAGAGCAGAAATCCCCAAACATGTCACATCAAATCACAGAGACAGGGATAATGGGACAGAGCCATGTGGTTGGAGTACGTGTATTGTGCTCTGTATTATTAGTTTATTGATGCTAAGGATTTCATCAGGTAGCTTCCAGGGCTTCCAGCACTGTCCTAGTGTCTGTGATCACAAATTAGTCACCAGTGCCACTTGTTCAAGAAAAGCCTTTCTGAAGAAGCATGTCTCTGAGGCTCTTGCTGGTTTGTTATTTTGTTTTTTTGCCTTTCAGCTCCTTCCCTCTAAGTTCCAGAAGGAGAAGTTTCTGAACACAAAGAATGAGGCCAGCACTGGGGGGAGTCATCTGCCCAGAATTGGCCCAATTCTAGACACGAGTGAGACTGCTCAGAAGGTAGCCTTTTCCTGCTCTTTTCTTTTTTGTTTGATGCAAAGTTTGAAGAGGGTGTGTGCTTGTGACAGGCTTGCCTCCAGCAAAATACCTCAGTGTCCAAGTCCTGTTGTCATTGCAAACTGCTGGTAGTGATGGACTTGGAGTCCTGATCTGCACTAAGCCAACACAAATGACCTCTGCTGAAACTGCTGGGGTTTGCTGGAGTGTAGCTGCCATTGCTAAAACGATGGGGGAAGGTTGGGGACACAAAGGCACAAGATTGCCATTTGCCATTCTCTTGCTGAAACAGCCCCCTCTTACTTTGCTGTGGTCACCATCAAATGTTTGGGGTCATAGGATTCCCTCCACAGTGGCAGCGTTGGCCTTTGAAGGCCGAGGACCTGCAGTAATTACTTCAGATTTAACAAAACTAATTGCACTAATGCTTTGGGCTGGAACAATGTGTTGGGAGCCTGAGGGGTGTTAGATTTTGCAGGCTGCCAGATGTAGAGGGGACTCGGCCTGGGCAGAGGGGAATGGATCGGTGCCTACTTAGAGGTGTGTTTAAAGTCTGCACTGGCTCAGCACAAAGCACAGTCCAAACGGGTAGGTGGCCGAGGTGGGTGTTGAGCAGGAAATTGGCAGCAAGAGACAGTAACAAACTGGTGAAGGATTACCCTGGGGAGAGGGCTTGGGAACAGCTCAGAGAAGGGCACAACTAAGGGACAGTGTGCTGCAGCCACTCCCTTCGGCAGACTGTGTCTCATGTGCAGTCACACAGGAGAGCTGCTGGTGTCCCTGGAGTGGCAGACGTGCTCACCCAGAGTCTGTACTTCACTGGGGATCAGAGTAAGATTCTCCTTCATGAACCTCCCAACAGCTGAACCTCCCCCTGTTCTCTCTTGCCTCTCCAGTTGTCGCCAGTTCCCCCGAAACAGAGCTTGTTTCGGGTTTCCCCATCAGAGCTGGTATTTCAGAACTACGTCGCTCATGAGGTCTCTGAAATGGAATTGACTCTCACGAATAAGAACAAGGTAAGTGATGGGATGTGGAGCTTTAACGCTATGCTGGAAGAGGGGAGTGGTGTCATTCCCATAGTGCACAGCAAAGCAAGTTACCTGCTGCAGCACATCCAGAAGAAAATGTCTCAGCACCTTTGTTCTGCAGGATGGTGGAAATCTTGTTGTGCCAGGAATTCTCCCCTGATTTTGGCCGTGCATGGATGGTATCTATCCCAAAGGATCTTCCTTCCCTTGAAAGCTCTGTACTGATACGAATGGGGAGGGCTGTACAGTTCTTACCTGCTCTCATGCTTTGCCTTGAGTCTATACCACATCCCGTGTCTCCTTGGGTCCTGGTAGGAATCTCTGCCTCTCTCAGCCTGTTTGGCCCCCTTTGTGCAGCTCAATATCAAAGCTCAGGGGCTGAATCTTCTCCACTTTGTGCTGGAATCACTTATCACTAATGGCATTGGTACTGCAGGAAATGTGTTCTGAAACAGCCCTGGAGTCAGACTGATGCAGCAGAAGCAGTGAGAGGCCTTTAGGTGCCCCTTCAGGCTCCTGCTAAGCTTCATCCAGCTCTGCTCAGGCTTTCCAAAAGCAACATGGTGCTCTGCTTTCCCTTTGGAGAACCACAGCACATCCAAAGCCATGTGCTCCTGGAGGACTTCACCTTCACTTGAAGCAATTGTGACTGTTCTGCAGTTTCCCAAGAGTGTTGAGAGGGGAAAAGTTGAAAAATGTCAGCAGTTGTGTTCCACTGTAAAGAGGAAACCTGAAACCATTTGAATTTCAGTTGGGGAAACATTTTCTCAGATGAGGCTTGTGCCAAGAGTGGGCTGGTGGGAAGAGCCAGGAGGGAGTCAAAATCATCTGGTTTAGATTTTTTGAGAGCATTTTGGTGCTCAGGGGTTGACATCTATGTGCTAGCAAATGCACATTTGCTGTGTCTGTGTATCCCAGAGGGCAGAACCTGGCCTGCTGGCTGCAGGCAGGAATGCCCAGCAGCCCAGCTTGCCTGCACAGGCAGCAAGAGCCCCTGGCGAGCCAAGACTGGCTTTTCATTCTGGAGCCACAGGGTGAGTCAGTGCTGGTCATGTTTCTCCAGGCAGAAGATGCCTTTGAAGCCCACAGTCGATAGGCACGGCCTGTCTGTGTTTCTGTCTCTTTTGGCAAGCTGAGTGCTGTCATGGTTTTATGATTCTTCCTTGGCTGCTTTACTGCCCATTTAATTTCTCTTTGCCATCTCCTTGTTTTAGGGATTGTCTTTCTTTGTCCTTCTTTGCCTTTTCAGGTTTGCTTTTATTCCCAGGGAGGCCACAGTGCTTGGTCTCCTCTCTTACTGGTCTGCCTGCCTGACTGTACCCCCAGAACTGCCCTACCCACACCTGATCTGCTAGAAGGGAATTTCTTCCTTCCCCCAGGATAATGTGCTGCTTTGCTTTCAGGTAGCACATCCCCTGTCTGGAACACCACTGCATGGCTGTGTGCAGGCAGAAGCCAGCAGGTTTTTGGCCTTGTTGAATATGCAGATGACTTGGTGCAGGTGCTCTGTCTCCATCCTGCTGGTGCTGACCTGCTCAGCCCTTCCTTCCCACCAGGCACTGCCCTACTGCCCCTGGCCAAAACGACCCAGACAGAAGGGATTCAAGTTCTCCCTTGTGAATGATGTGCCTGTACCTCCACAGCTGAAAGTGCTTTGGAAACGGGATCAAGGAAGGATGTCACCAGGGCACGGACAGGTCTCCTCTCGTCCTGCTTCCACAAGCGGCAAAATCATTGTCTCATGTCTTCCCTGCAGTTTCTCCAGCCGGTGAAGATCTCCATGGAGTTATCACCTCACTTCAGGCTTGCGTACGCCAGTGATGCGTACCATACTGTGCCACCAGGCGCGACCATCCGTGTGCGCATCCAGTTCACCCCTGACGAGAGCAAGGTGAGACTGGAGGAGCCAAAGCACACAATTCTCTCCAAAGCCATTGTTTTCCCTGCACTCTGGTACAGCCCATTCCTTGCTGTGAGCTTGGCTCCAGGCTGGGGGCAGGCAGCCTGCAGCCAGGCTCACCTTGGCACGTGCTGTCAGGGGCTGCAGCCAGGCCTGACAGGCCCTGCTTCCCTCCCTGCACATTCCTGAGCATTCCCAAGGGAAGATGCACAGGGAACAGGATGAAAATGACAGAGGGGTGTTGAGAGATGTTTGGCCATCTCTAGGTACAGTGGAAGGGTTTCATTATTATGGAAAACACTAGAGGAATGAAGAGCTCAGAGAGCTTTCCTCCTTCCTGACTGGCAACAGCTTCCCTGCCTCACCCTGGGCTGGAGCAAAGACGGTGCTTTTTGCCCCCTCTGTTCTCCAGCCTTGCAGCTGTGCTGTCCCACAGCTCAAGTGACCAAGGTACAGCTGCAAGGCCAGGGCAGAGGATGTGCTGTGCCCGTGAGCCCAGCCTGGCACAGGCACACTGAGCTCTAGGTGCCCTTAGCAGGAGGTTGGTGAGCTGCAGGGGACTTGGACAGCTGCTGAAAGAGCTGGTGTAGGGCAGGTACAACCTGCAGGCAGAGCTGTCAGCCCAGAGCCTGTGGCAGTGACGCTGCTGTGGCTCTGTCTTCATGCCTGTCACTGTGGCTGCTCTGTCCACTGGCACCCGTTCCGTGCCAGACGTGCTTTGGTGTGGAGATTTGAACAGCAGGGCCGAGGCCCTGGCCAGTCTGATCCCAGTGCTGGGATCTGGAGGGCCAATGCTGGGATCTGGAGGTTTGTTCATACAGAAGGGTTCAGGACATGGCAGGGAAGGGAGGAAGCCTTGCAGGGAAAAAAACAGAGGCTCTTTCCAACAGCATCCTGCTACCTCTTAGCACTGTTCTTCTCCTGACTTGCTTGGAGAGGCAAAGTTAGAGGGAATTGTGAGCCAACTGATGTTTCTACACCGGGCCAGCGGTGCTGGATCTCTTTGGGTGCAGCTGTTTTCTCACCTTCCTTTTGCTGCTTAAAGTCAGCTTAGCACTTTGTCCTATTCTCAAACAGTGGGAATATAGTAACCTAAAGAGGAATGGCCTGTGTTCCCTAGCTCCATGTTCCTTAGAAGGGATTTGGGAATTATTTATCATCACTAAAATTTACAGTAAAAGTTGTGGCCTAGGGCATTTCTCTGTATGACTCTAGTGACACAACAAGCTTAATGCCACCAAGATGGGTTTTGCAAAGTGCACTGCTGCCTTTAAAATGTGACATATTAGCAGAACTTAGTGTTCATTTTGGGGTGGAATAGGTAAATTGATGTCCTTGAAGGGTTATAGGAAATGGGTTTTCTTCTGCCATGGGGATGACACTAAATACCCTGTCCTGAGCTACTTTCTTTTCCTACAGGATTATTCCCATGAGCTCGTCTGCATCACCAAAACAGAAAGGATAGCTGTGCCAATTCGGGCCATTGGTGCCCGAGCTATCCTGGGCTTCCCTGACCAACTGGACTTCTCCAAGTGTCCAGTCAAGTCCAGCACTCAGAAGACTCTGCTGGTTCACAACACTGGTAACCTGGAAGCTCATTACCAGATAAGCACCCAGAGGTGAGGCAGCTCATCTGTCCTTGTGCAAAACACCTTTGGGTGATAACAGAGTTGGGAAAGAGCAACAAAAGGAACCTGAGCATCGGAGCTGCTGCCCTGCAGCCCTGGCTGGAAATAGGCAGGACATGTGGGGGTTGCTGTTACATCTCATGTTTTAAGCACGATGCAACCTCTGAGCTTCCTCTGTCCCAGATTTCCTGGAGGGTGCTGGAACATGTGAGGAGCTGGCTTGCACGCTCCTGAGCACAAGCAGCTTCTGAAATGGTTACTCCCCACTGTCAGCCAAATAGCCCCATTCTCTGGGAGGCCACAGGCAGTGGTCCTGTCATGAGAGGCCCCATGTGAGCTGTGTTGTGGACAGCCTGTGCTGTTCCTTTTACTTAAAGCTGATCTGATTTCCCTTGTCAGCTGAGGGCATCAGTCACCTCTTCTGTTCCATGATGAACTTTTGAAAGCCAGTTTAAAAATTCAAACAGATGATTTAAATCTCTGAATAAGGTCATGCCCCTTTCCTTGAGGTTTCTTTTTAAATACTCTGAAATTCCTGTGTTTCTGCTGTTTTTTCATTTTGGTTTGGGCTAATTGTTTGCCAAAAGATCATGAATTCTCCACTGGGAACTTCCATAAGGGTTGAGCCCCTCTGATGCCTATCAATATACCACATGCCCATAGGTATAGGCACAGGTGTATAGGACATATGAGACATTTAGTGAATATGTGAAAGGCAATTGGGCTGATTTAGAGGATATAAGTATAGAATAACTTTTGCTGGAGGGGACCTCTGGAAATCATCAGAGCAAACACACTGCTCAAAGCAAGACGAGAGTCTGGGGATTGCAAAGTGCCATTGGGAGATCTGGACCTGTCTTTAGATGCCATACAAGAAAACAGACATACAAATGGACCTAGTTAAAAAGCAGAAGATAACAAGCTATTCAAACCCCCCTCCATTTTCTGCCTGTCGGGTGCAGTGCAGTGATTCACTGAAAGGGGAGATCTAACAGGATGAGAACTTAAGGAACAGCTCACAATTAACAGATAAAAGGCCAAAATTTCGCCTGCCAGCCCCATCTCTTGGCAGTGGTTTTCATTTGGTTATTACAGTGTCAGGGATGTTTCCTTCACAGCTCTTCTATCTGTGGGCTCAGGGAACAGCTTAGTGATTTTGGCTGAAATTCAGAGGAGTTAAGTTTAACTGTAGAGTTTGTGTCCTTGGGTCTTGGGGAGCCTCATCTTTCCTTGCCTCTCTCCAAAAGTCTCATGTCCAGCTCATAAACACTGCTGGCCCAAGGCTTCTCCATCAGCCAGTAATTACTCACTGGTGGTAATGGGAACAGGCCAGGCCCATAACTGCAGCAATAGGTCCTTAGTGAGCAGAACCTGAAGCAAGTCCATCAGCTGTCACTCCTGACATGAATAAAGTTCAGCTTTCCAGACGTTCTCTTTATTTTTGTGTGTGATGCATTCATCACCAAACTCTCCAGAACACACTTTTAAGTGACAGTGACCACCAGCAAAGCACCAAGGCCAGGAACTTTTGTTTCCTCAGTGGGGCTGTAGAAGAGCACAAAGCCCAGCAGCTGCTGGGCAGAAGCGCATTTCACCTGAGCTGTCCCTGAGCATCAAAGCACAGAGTCCTGTGTTTGTCAGGCAAGAGCTGTTTAGCTGGTGACCAATCCTCATTGTTGCCTAAATGCACCAACACATTTGCATAATTATTTCCAACACATTGCACAGAGTTTATCTGGTGGGCCAAGCAAACAGTTACCAGCCTGGATGATAAGACAGAGTCCCAGACTGCATTGCTGGTAAATACACAGAAACCTCCTGTTCTGTGTCCCTGCTGATGGTGCTTCATTTAACTGGGATTGGATCCTTCAGACTGTAAATGGCATCTTTCTTTTGGGTCTTGTTTCCATGTGACTGTGTTGCTCTAATCTACATTTGCAGTCTTTCAGAGTTTTGATTGCTCCTTTTCTTAGAGCAACTTTCATTGAAATGCTGATAAAATGTGTCCTTCTTAGGCTAAATCAGGATGTTTTCAAGGTAAAATAAACCAAAGAACCACACTGCAAATACAACAGTAACTATTCTTTGGTCTTCAAGGAAAAGTTCCTTCTCCCTGTCTGATTCCTAGGCTGTGTTCTCACAGGACAGGTAGTGCCCTAACACTTGGATCTTTGAGATGAGGTTTATAGGCAGCAGGAAAAGAGAAATTCCTGATGTCCATGCAGACAGCTCTTAACCCTCTCAGTGGTTTCACAAACCATTCTCTGATGGGATTGCTGGCAGTCAGACCCTCGAGTCTCATTGCAGAGAGCTGGATGCAGGGTTTGGGGGAGATGAGGTCATTTTATCCCACAGGATCTCCTGAGGTCTGTATCTCTTCAGAAGTGGGTCAGCAGCTGTTTCTGATCCTGTCTGTTTTGTCTCTTTTCTGTTGACTGTGGTTTCTTTCCTCCCTGCTTGCCCAAGGGAGCCAAAGTGACCTGCACTGCAGAAGGAATATCATCCCCAGATGTCCCCTGAGTCCTGATCCCTCTCTTTGTGTTGCAGTCCTTTCTCCGTGGTTCCAGCCACGGGAACCCTGGGCGCTGGTGACAGCATGCAGGTGACAGTGGGATTTCACCCACTTACAACTGGTGACCATTTCGGGTCCGTGGTAGTGTGCTACAACAAAGGTGAGTGCTGGGCTCAGGGGGCACAGGACAGTTCTCCAGCACCACTCCCTGTTGTCCCAGCCACCTCAATTCCCTCTAGCTGTACCTCCCCTGTTCCAGCTTTACCCCAAAGAAAACTGAGAACTAGTTGGTGTTTAGGGGGCTGATAAAGTGGATCCCCTCTAACAGGACTAAGATTTTTGGGCTCCTGTTTTGCTGGGAGCTGGTGAGTGGAGGAAGGAGGAGCCCCGATTCTCCACTGCGGTGTGGCTGTGCTGGGTGAAGTTTCATTTCATTCCTGGCCAGTGCTGTATGTGAGGTGTGAGGTCTCCATCAGACTCTCTCCAATGCAGTGTATTTCTTGCACACCTCTGTCCTGTATACTGCTGCTCCACTGGCTTGTCACAGACCCTTTTCTATGTTGCCCTCTACACATATATGTAGTTTCTGTCTAATATCATTTTCAGGCTCTCAAGCTCCTGTTTGGTGACAAATCAAGACAAATTTTTCCTCGTCCCCATATCCCAGGCCGTTCCTGCTGTTGCAAACCTCTCACATCTATCTCCCATTTGATTTCTAGACTGAGGAATCCTATTCAGTCTTCATATAGAAGCTGCTCTCTACTTATTAATCTTTTCCTTTGTTCCTTTTTAATTTAATTTGAAATGCTCCAGCTTGGTTTTTGAGATCAGAACAATGTAAAATATTTCGAGACTGATGTGGCTGTGGGTTTGGACAGGGAGATGGAGATGATGATTTTCATGGTGTTCATTTTGTAGTGGTTTGTCATATTGCAGAGCCAGGCTGGTTGTGTTTCCTCACCTGTGTCCCCTCCTGCTGTGGGCTGTCACTTCACTTGTTCCTCTGGGCCTCCTTTTTCTGCCCACATGCCCCCAGGTGGATTTGCTTGTCAGCAGCAAGTGATCCAAGGGATCAGGAGAGACAGGAGTCTCATGGGATGCCCAGGGGAAATCCCAGACAAGCCAGGACTGAACAGGGCTCACCTGAACAGCATCACCTGAAGGACTTTGATGCAGAAATTCCAGTGATCTGAGTGGAGTGGAGCCACCTGAGCACATCTAACAAATCTCACGGTACATGCTGTCATCTTGGGGCCAAATCTCTACAAACACACACAGAAATAAAGTGTTTTAGGAGGTGCCCAGGATATCCTCACACTGTACACACAGAGCTGGCAGGATGTGATAAATGTACTGATCCATAGAATGCTAATATAGCTAAAAGCTGTGACACTTTCTTCTGTGACCTGTGGTTTGCTCTGTTCCTTGCTGTTCCATCAGCAACTGAGCTGAGCAAAGACTCCCCTTTGCTTTGTTCCAGGTGAAGAAAGTATCCACACAAACCTTCATGGAGAAGCTGTAGATGTCAACATTGGCTTGAGCACGTATTCTGTGGATTTTAAGAGGACTTTCATCACCATGTCAAACCACACAACCATGTTCATCGAAAACAGGAGTAACATCACAGCCCACTTCCAGTGGAAGACTTTTCTTAGTGAGGAAGATGACAATAGAGCGAAGAGGAGGTTGGTTTGAAAGATGCATTTCAGTGAGATACATGGCCCAAGACTAAAACTAACATATGGCTCAGGGGGTGTTGGTGCTTTTGAATGGCTTAGGCCAAGTAAACCATCCCTGGCATTAGGGTGTGTGTCCCTGGGTTTCAGGAGCTCAGCACTTAGCATTCCAGTTCCATTTATACTCCAGCCAAGGATGGCATTTTGGGAAGGAAAGGTTGATGGCAATGACTGGATTTCCTCAAGTTCTAATTGAGCTTTTGCCTCTCTAATCTTTTTCCTACATGACCTGGCAACATCCTTAAATATTTCCTGAGTTTTCAGCCCCTCTTTTCCTTTAGTTTCTTCAAAAGCTCCTTGCCTATCCAGGCTGGTTGTCTTCCCCATCCGCTCTATCTTTCAGCACACAGGGACAGTCTGCTCCTGTGCCTTCAAGACTTCTTCCTTGAAGTATGTCCATCCTTCCTGGACTCCTTTGTTTTGAAGGGTTGTTTCCCAAGGTACTCTCCAGAACAGGCCCAAGTCTGCCCTCCAGAAGTCCAGAGTGGAAGTTTTGTTGATGCCCCTCCTTGTTACACCAAATATTGAGAACTCTATTTTTTCACGGTCACTGTACCCCAGACAGTGGTGAACAAATGAAGTTCATTTAATTATTAGGGAATCTTCTGGTGATATCTAGTACTTGGACCCCAGGGAGACAGCAGACTTCCCTGTGGAATGGATCTGGTCGATAAACAGGGTCCTCAGTTTCCCTTAGAAGGGAGCCACCTATTACCACTACCCTTCTTTTCTTCTTAGTACTTGAGGTTGTGATATGTCAGACAAAGTGCAACTGGGAGACTCTCCAGACAAAATGTTTTCTTTAATGTCAAATGTTTCTATTTAGTGTCATGCCTTACCCTCTGGATCCAGGGCCTCATACCTGTTCTGTCTGGGCAGGTGCTGGGGGTCAGGATGGCATTTTATTACCTCCCCAGTAGAGACCCATTTCCATTGCCCACTGTCTCCTAGGTCTCCTCCTTCTGCCTGATGGCAAGAAGGGCAGGGCAGGGCTCCTCTGACTCCTGCTGAGCTCCTCTCAGGCTTGGAAAGGTGTAACTCCACCAGTTTATTTCTGTTTCACTCTCCCAAATGCTCCTCAGCCTTTCCACTTCTCCCTTAGGCTCTGCCACCAGACAGAGCAGAGGATCCATCTGCTCACACTGCACACAGGTGTCCTTCACACAGTGCTCTGGTATTAACACCAGGCTCAGACCCTCCCTGCACCAGGGGCCTGCACAGCTGCCTCCTTCCTGGGGTTCTGTTTGAGTCAGTGCACTCTTGCTGGCAGCAGCAGCAGCAGTGGCTTTTGATCATTTGTAAACCATTGCTGCGGGAAGATGAGATAAAAAGGCAGAAAGAGGAAAGAAAAAAAAAGGCAAGCACCTCACAACCATCCGAAAGACACAACCCACTGCACAAGAAGGGTGGGTGGCTGCACCCTTTCTGCTCAGCCTGCTTGTGCAAACTGCGCAAAACCTGAAAAACACCGCGCAAACTGTGCCAAAACTGCCGTGCCAAAACTGCCGTGCCAAAACTGCCGTGGCAAGCCCTCATTTGCTGTGGGCCAGGTCACTCCCAGTGGCTGGAAGAGGGTCCTTTAGTGCCTTGGTTTTCCACTGTTCTCTGTCCACTTACAGTGTCTGACTTCCATACAAGCTCTCTGTGTTAAAAGAAAATCCCATGACTTCTGCCTACTTCCCTGCGCTGTTTATTTCCATTTTTTCCCACTTGCCTTCCTCAGCCTGGACTCCAAGTGATCCCCTTTCCCCTCAGAAGCAATTAGGTTTCCCCAAAGTAAATTTCAACCTGCTTTTGGTTTTGTGGGGTTTTTCCCAATTACATTTGTTTTCATGCCATTTTATGACCTAGACTGTCACCAGGACATTTTGTTCTTCCTTATTTCCAGTCTTGGGGATGGTTTTAGCTCCAAGGCCATTGTCCTGCTGTCAGAGAAGCTTTTGAGATCTCAGAGCAGAGAGGACTTTTTTATGAGAGGAGATTGTGCAGTACCCTTTCCCTCTGAGGACATTCTACTGCCATGCACTGGGATGGGACCCAAAAAGCTCTGGATCATGAAAAGGTCTCTCTGGGAGTTTGCTGTCTCCCTCCTGCACAACAAAGGCCCTTCCCATCTCAGAGCCTCTGTTTTCATGCATATAAAGCCTCGAATGTCACTGAAGAGATGCAGTGCCTGAATTCATCAATTTCCTTTGGAAGTGCTCTGGGATGCTCTTGTGAAAGATGGAGTAGGGAACAAGGCAGGTCCAAAATGGAAGAAACAAAGAGTGATGCTGGCAACACGTAGCTGCAACCCAGATTTGTCTCCCCTTCCCAGGGAAGTCCTGCAGTGGGTGCTCTGTGACCTTTATCTGCCTCCCCCAAGCAGCTCTGTGGGGAGCTGAGGTGGCTGGTGGATTCCCCCTCAGTTTTGGCAGAGGCTTTGAGCCAGAAGGTTCTCTTGGGGATGCTGGCTTTGGAAACCTCTCCTGATCTTGCAAGTGTGGAGCAAAACTACTTGCTGTGCCAGTGAACAACAAGTTACCCTCTGGTCCATTTGGGACCCCCAAGGCTTGGGGTCAGCCCTTGCTGGGGAGCTGCTGCTGCTCCTCCCCAAGTGCTTTGCTCTCCTGCACTTACACTTCTCTCTGCAAATATAGGGCTTATTGAACAATTTGCTGGCTTTGTCTCTCTCTGTGGCTGCAGGCAGTGTGATTTGCTGCAGCCACCAAAAGAGGTCTGGGTGGACAACTTAATGGAGGAGAGAAGAATAGCGATGAAGACGGGTTTCTGTGAAGATCGCACTGCCATCCTGAAAAAGAAGGTCCAGAAGAAGATGGCAAAGGTGCAAGAAAACCCCATGCTGTTCTCCAGTGACATTTTTTACATTGAGCCAATGGTAAGTGGTAGCTGAGAACCTCACTTTCCTCCTCTTCCTTCTCTTCTTCCTCCTCCTGCTCCTCCTCCTGCTCCTACCCATCCCACCCCTGCCCCCCTTCCCCCGGCTGCATCTCTGGGCAGATCCTCAGCAGGCTCGATGTGCTGAGAGGGAAGACATCGAGTTTCTGGTGCGGCTGCAGAGCTCCTGCTAAAAGCATTTCTGCCCTGCAGGCTCAGGGCAGGGCTGGGAGCCTGACAAAGCCGAGCTCTGCAGCCAGGGTTCGAGCTCAAGGGCACTCCATGCGTGTCCTTGCCGTGTCCACAGGGACCAGTTGTTGTAGGTAGGGGCTCCCCTGACACCTGGTGTGTGGGGTTTAGCAGAGGGTGGTGGAGCACTGCCAGTTCACATATTGACCTGAAGCATGCAATGGTTCCCTGGGAAAAGGAGGCCAAATTGGAATTAGAGAAATTCCAATCCCTTCCTGTACCCACAACTTGCATTATTTCTGAGTCTCCCTTCCAGTGTCATCTGTGAGCCTGGACAAAAGGGTGGAAGGTTTAGATGGGCCTTTAAAGTTTCTTGCAGACAGGGACAGAAGACCTTTTCTGTTTATGCAAGCAAACCCCCACGTCTTCCCATCAATCAAAGCCCTGATTCTGACTATTGGCATTGTGAGAGGTGATGAATTCCTGGTGTCTGCACAGTGCAAAATCCCTTCTCATCTTGGAATAGTCCCAACCCCTACTTTCTTTCAAAACAGGTTAAACTAATATTTTTATTTCCCAGGAAGGGGATCATGTTCTCTCTTGAGAAGAGCCACCAGTGCACAGTGGCAGTTACATACTGCAGCTGACAGCAGCATAATGTGACCAACAGCTTGTGTCAGAGCAGTAGGAATGTTGTGGAGAGTGGGAGCTGATCAGCTGAGCATTGAGAGCTTCCAGTGTTGAGCTGGGTTTGGAGTGTTTCCTTGGGCTCCTTGTGTTGTTCACTCATCATTGATGCTCTAAATAAAGGCTTACAGGACTGTTGAAAACAAGAAATGGGAAGTTTGAAGAACATTTTTTGCTGTCTCTTTCTGTTTTAGGAGGGGGTGATTGGGCCAAATAGTTCGGCCGAAATCAAGGTGACCTTTAAACCCCAAAAAGCCCTAGAGTATCGAAGTGTGGCTTACTGCAATATCTCAGGTACAGCTCCTTTCCCCTGCTTCTCTCACCCACAGTGAAGCCATGGTGCAAGCCTGAGCCCACTGGGCTCCCCTGGAACTGCTGGGAAGAGTCCCTGGGCAGCAGGGCAGTGCTGGCACATCCCACTGCCCCTGCAGATTCCAGGGAGTCTCCTGTGCGAGGCCAGGGTCAGAATCCTGTGTCTGGGTTACTGATCCCAGAACAACCCAGGCACTGCAGGGAGAAGTTTTCATGGCACAGCTTTGCCAGCATTCCCTCAAAGGCCAGAGCAGAACAGCTTTAGTGAACAAGCACTAAGCCCCTCTAGACCACTGACCTCCAGGATGGGTCCATTTGGCATGGATCCATCATCAGGCAGCAGGAGTTGAGTTAGAAATGTGCTCCCTGAGCCTGGATCACCTCCCACTGTCCAGACACCACCAGACCAGAGGTGGCTGAGCCCCACTGAGCCCATGGTCTTTGTAGAAGTATCACCCTTGGCCAGCATCTGCTTCTCTCTCCCTGTGTGGGAACTGGCACCTTGCAGCTCTCAGTCTGTGGAAATAGAACACAATGCTGAGTGTCAGAAGTTGAGGACTTTGGCAACAAAGTCGTGTGCTACTGGGCCAGGTAGTTTGGCAATTGCTGCCTTGCAACTTGCCAGGTACAATTGCCAAACTCTTGATGAGCTTTGTGCCATCACTGAATGATTTCAAAGCTCCTCTAGGTGCATGGGAAGGAAACCATAGAATCATGGTATGTTAAGGATGGAATGGACCTTGAAGATCGTCCAGTCCCAAGACCCCTGCCCTGGGCAGGGACACCTCCCACTAGAGCAGGTAGCTCCAAGCCCCAAGCAGCCTGGCTTTGAACACTTTCAGGGCTGGAACCTCCACAACTTCCCTGGGGAGCCTGCTCCAGTGTCTCACCACCCTCACAGTAAAACATTTCTTCCTAATAGCAAACCTAAATTTCCTTTCTTTCAATTTATACCCATTACTCCTTGGGCTGTCATTACAGGACATCAGAGATGTTTTAAACTCAGCAAACTGGTGGCTAAAATTTGAAACCAGCCCAAGGAATGGGTTAGAAATTGGAAGTCAGCCCCAAGGGATATCTCCTGAGGGAAGAGAAGGGTCCATATCTTCTCTTGCAGCATCAGGAGCTGGTTGCATCCAGCTCAGAGCCAGGGGCTAGCATTCAGGCAGCCTGGAAAATACAGTATAACCGTGGGAGTTATTCTACTGAAATGGACATCTCTCCCCAGGCCGTGGGAACAGGCTGCCCCTGCACCTCAGAGGGGAAGGCCAAGGACCCTTGCTTGAATTCAGCAGTCATATTCTGAGACTTGGAAACCTTTTTATCAACACCTCCCACGTCTATGAGGTGAGCAGCAGGGGTTGGGATGGATCCTGATGGCTCCTGAGGCAGCAGCAAGCCTGGTGGACCTGTGGAATTCCTGGCAACATGGGCAGTTGTGGGCAGGGAATATTTGATGTACTGGTCAAATCTGGGGGGGGTCAGAAAGGTGTGTCTGGTGTTCATGAAGCCCCAGTCCCTGCTTTTTGGCAGCCTTCCTTGGGGATCAGCTCGGAGGCTTCCTGCAGAACACCCCCTTGGCATATAAACCAAAACTGGGTCAAAAAACTGCATGTTCAGAGGCTTTTGTGGCAGCACCAGACACAAGGCACCTTTGCACTGGGCTGTTCAAAAGTAGCTGGAACAACTGGCTGCATTTCAGCTCCAGTCCACTGCAAACAATTCTCAGTCAAGTGTCTCCTGCTTATTCCTAGAAGTCACAGGAAAGCCATCCAGCCTCCTGGCTCAGTGCTGGCCCTTGCAAAGGGCTTGGGAGTTCTTTCCCTTGCTGACCACTCCCTCACCACGTTTCAGCCATGGTGTACTTCTGGCTCCAGAGAGAGAAAAGTGTTCCTGGGAATAAAGCAAAGGATTTTTCTACCTGTTTGCCTCTCCCCCAATAGTGTCAAGTTTAAAAAAAAAAAAATAAAATAAAGAGACAGCAGCTGGAAGAGGTAGAGAATGAGGCACTGCATCATGCCAGACACTTCCAAGAGCTTGGCTGTGGAAGACAAAGGCACATTGAGTTTTCTTACCAAAAGATGGTGCTGTCTATACATTTTGATGCTGTTGCCTCATTATCAATGTATTGTTTTCATGATTTGGGAAAAGGTGAATGAGTAGATGGTACTGTTGGAGCTGTGCTAACTGGGGCAGCAGCAGCTCTCTGGTGATTGACTATGCAGCTGCCCCACGTTGCTCTCAGGGCCAGCTCTGAATGAGCTTGGTGATGCTGGCCAGAGCTGGACTGCTCTGTGTCCATGGGATAAGCCCAGGGTGACTCTGGTTATGTGGAGTTACTGCTGCTTTGCAGGAGAACCCAAAGGCAGAACTTGTCCTGTTGTATTTTTTTGACTTCTGCCATTCAGCAGCACAAAGCATCTTCTGCCTTTTCTGGGTGTTAATTGCATCATGAGACAATAACTCACAAGAAGGGAAGATTTTGCTATTGTATTTCCATTTTGCTTTCTTGCTGCTGCAGGTGAAACTCATTAACCAAGGAGTTCTTGATGCTCCCTTTGTATATATCCCTTCAACCACAAATGTGGGCTGCTGCTTCAAGTTTACACCCGAGAAGGGTGTCATTGAACCAGGTGGGATCCAGACTATTCAGATCTCCTTCAGTGCCACCATCCTGGGGGTGTTTGAGGAACAATTTCAGTTCAGTGTGGCTGAATCTCCTACGCCTGTGATCCTGACAATCGGGTAAGGACTCTGGGAGCTTGCTGGGCACATCTGTAGCTGTCTCTGGGACATCCCCCACCTCCCTCATTTTGGGGTTGAGCAGAGGAAAAAGGTGTTTCCTGAGGTCTTAATCTCTGCTCTGATCCTTGCATTGCCTTAGTGTGAGGATGCCTGCTGTCCTATGTGGTATGTGGGAGCTGGATTGACTCCTCCCTGCAGGGATCTCCCTCTGCCTTGGGCCATGGCAGGCAGTGGGATGGATCAGCTTTGGGCAGTAGCTGCTCTGGGCTGTCCCACCTGAACACCCAGCAAGGCTCCCAAGGCTTTGGAGATGGGCCAGCCTGGGTGATTCTGCACCAGCAGCAGTGTTTTTCAAAACTTCTGCTCATAATCCATCCCAAAATGGGCAACAGCAGCCTCACCTCACCTGTCATGGCCATGCTGTGGGGGACAAGCTGTGCTCCCAACTCCTGTGCAGAGAGTGCTCCGGTCCCTCCTGTCCACAGCCAGGAAAGGGCTGGGAGACAGGGAACTGTGCAGCAGGAATGTGCCAAGGACATGGGCATCATCCCATGGGCTGCTGCCATTGCAAGAGATAATCCTGGCCCAGCAAAGGGAGAAGGGGTGATAATAGGGGAGGCAGAGCTCAGTTCCACAGCAGCATGAGGGATTGTCCCTGCTAGCCTGAGCCATGTGCTGCTAGGATAACATCGTGCAAGCAGGAAAGCTGATGCTGGCTGCTCTGGAGCTTTGGAGCTAGGCTGCTGCTGTTGGGAGGCACTGGATCAAGGCAGTAAAGAAATGAAAGCAATCCACAGTTGATTATACCAATAAGATAAGGAAGATGGATAAAAAAGAACAAGAAAATGATTACTTACTAAGACAAAAGTGGTGAGTAGGTCTGCCCATGGTAGAGAAACAATTATGCTGACTTTGTTTTTGGAGGAAAAGTGCTGCTTTTTTATTTTGGAAACCAAGAGGGAACCTTTCATCATCACTGGTGACAAGCTGGTCCTTTCTCTAAACTCTGTCTGTAATGATTGTGTGGGTCAAAATCTTCTGAGAAAGCTCCTCCATGGGATCACCAGTTTGAGCTAAGAAGTAGCAAAGCAGGGAGCCTGTGGCTGGAAAGGCTGGTTACAGAAGTTTGTGGGGACACCTTTATGTCCATTACATTACAGTTGGGGAAACTGAGGCACAGAGCCATGTCTGAGTGTGTGTTCAGGGTCCTTCATGGGACCACCAGCGACTCGTGGGGCTTTTCCTGCCTGCCCTGTGCACAAAGCCCCACCAGTGGCTGTTGGCTGCTGGCCACTTGGCTTTAGCTGCCTCCTGCCCACAGGGACACTGTGCTGAGCACATGGTGCTGTGTTGATTTGAACCCCACGGTGCCCCTGACACCAGGCTTTGTGTCCCCGAGCCACCACGGCTGCCACACGCTTTGTGACTCCCTTTAACCGAGGCATTTCCTCCTGCTCTGTGCTCGTCATCGCAGGGGCTGTGTCAGTGGACCAACTTTACACTTCGACGTCGGTGAGCTCCACTTCGGTGACATCTCCTTTGGTGAGTGCTCCCTGGGCTTGGACACAGCGTGAGGGATCTGTGCGTTCCAAAATGGACCACATGAACATAAAAACATCCATCACTCGTGTTCTGCCACAGCAGCCTCTTCAGGCTGTGAACTCCAGGGCTGCTGGTGCCTCAGGTAGCATTTTGCCATTGTGAGATCAAATAGGACCAAGGAACAGAAACTCAGTATTTTCTGGTGTCTCTGTCCTGATTTAAAAGACAGATGTCTACCAAGGAAGGTGGGAATCTTCCTGGAATGGAAAGATGACCCCCTCCATCCAAATTATTATACCTTTGAAATTACAGGGCTTCCAGGCAAAAATATGGGGAAAGGAATAATAGTTCTTTACTAGAATGTATCAGGACAGCACAAACAACAACAACGCAATAAAAGGAGTTTCCAACCTGCCAAGTGCTGTTTCTCCTCTTTGGTGTAGTTATGATCACAGGCAGGAGGAGCTGTGGGCTCTGGCAGGGCAGTGATCCCTTCCCTTTCGCTCCCTGCAAAACCTCAGGTCTGATTTCACAACTGCCCACGGCATCATGCCACAACTCCTAAAAATCCTGAACAGAAAAGCCCACCCCCAGAGCCAAAACCCCCAAAACCCCTATCCCCCTTCCCAGACCAAGGGGAAAATTCACTATGAAACCTAAACATATAACACTGAACTTTTTAAAAAAACAATTTGCCTTTCCTGACCTGCTTCTTCCCCTCCCTGCATCACCACTGAGGCACTTGTTAAGTTTCCTTTTGAATAAATGAAACAAGAAAGGCAACAGGTAGAAATATGATTCTTTAACAGGAGATTCATCCTGCTTAATCCAATTTCATTCCTAAGGTCTCTTCAGCTGAAGGCAGCTGTTTTATCTTTGCTTCTTTTTAACTGCTGACTGTTGTCTGCATGTGGTGGCCTCAGTCTCACTTGAGGTTTTGACATCTGGATTTGTCCTTTTTGTGCCCCTCTTGCCTCTCTTCTGGAGTCACTGCTGCAGCTGGCAGTGATCACTGTTGATGGGCACAGAGAGCCCTGAGCTGTGCCTGCAGTTGTTTTTTCCCCATCTATGTTCAAATGACTCTTGGTGAGCAGGCCTGGGAGAAGTCTCCTCCCCACAGAGCTGGCCAGCCAAGCCAGATGTCCAGTGCAGAGCAGTGGTGGTGTCCGGGCTCTGCAGGACATCCCCACCATGTGTGGCTGTATCTCTGGCTTTCCAGTATGGAAAGCAAATCTCAGAGCTTAAGTGGGGTAAACACTAGCAGGCAGCAATCACAGTGAGCAGCATGGGTATGATGGCCCCCTTTGTTGGGTGAGGTGGGACATGGTTCCCAATCGCTATCCTCAAAGCAAGGCTCGGGTTTGCCTCCAGTTGAGTGGGCTCTGAGCTTTCACCTGCTCAGTCTGTTTGGCCCAAACCAAGAGATGCCTTAAGGATCCTGCAGAGAGAAACTGCATTAGGGTGCTTTGCATCATGTTCTAGCTCCTGATTCCATGCTCACTTTCTTTTGTTGTAGCTTCTTCTCAATGCTGACTCACTGTTTATATATCTTGAAAACAGAGGGAGCGTTGGCAGACTTAACAGGGAATTTTACAGCTTGAATTTTCAGAGTAAATGCTCGGTCTGGATGCACACTCATCAGGGACAAATAACTGGTGCTGGTTTGGGGCAGGTGAGGGAGCTCCTCCCCATCAGAAAGAGAGAAGCTTGGAGTGCTCAGCAGGGCTAAGAGTGGGCATTTTCAAGGCTGAAGTTTGGAATCAGTGTCAAAGGGAACTAAGTGACGATAATTCCTCATGAAGCTTCTCAGTGAGCTGTAGTTCAGATAATAAAGAGCTAAACTCCAGTCACACTTTCATCCTACCAGGACATTCACATCAGGAGTCACGACACAATTGGTGCCTAAATGGATATTTGTGTCCTTTTCCTAGGCTTTCCCCACACCATGACCTGTCGCCTCACTAACACCTCCCTGGTGGCCGTGACATTCAAGCTCCGCATGTCGGACGATGGCACCCAGCCTGCTGTTAGCAGCTTTGATCAAATATGCAAGGAAGGTGACCCATCCTGGAGGAAGGGAATTCATTTTTATGTGGAGCCAAGGGAGTTTACAATGAATCCCAGCCAAGGGACCATCCTCCCCCAGGGACACCAGGATATCGAGGTATGGGAAGAGTCCAGCCACACACACTTCAGCACCAGGGCTAAAGCTTCACTGGGGTGTGGGAGGGCTTTAGCTCTGATGCCAGCTTTGAGCACGGTGTGAGTGAGAGATCTGCACTGGCCTGAGGCCTCTGTCAGCTGGGTAACTCGGGATGTTCCTGAAGGAGCACTGTTTTGTTCCCAAAATTACAAGTTGAAATCAGGTGGTCAAGTACTGGAGCCATTCTTGTGTTTTTGAGAGTGATTTCTTTGACTGAAAGCAGGCAGAGGAAGGATGAGGATGGAAGGCTGCTGTTAGTGAGATGTCATTGTATAAAGCAATTTACCTTTCTTCTTGGTCTCGTATCTCCTCTCCTGGGGTGCAGAATGATTTGTGTTCACTGCAGGGATCTTCACTGGAGACAAAAACTCTGCAGTCATGAACTGCCCAGCACCTGCTGGGCCACACTTTGCCCTCAGCTTCCTGCTGTAAATCTGAACTCATTCTGTCCAAGTCAGCAGATTTCCTCTGCATTTATGTCATTGTAGTCAAATGAAAAATTGTCCCCTTAATTTGAATACAGTGGTGCATAGAGCTTTAGCCTAATGTTTTAATTCAGCTGACCTATGCCATGATAACAAGGTGTGTTTAACAAATCTGGTATTGCCGGAAGGCTTTTGTTACTCTCAGAGACTGTGCTCTACACATAGACCAGCAGAAGAATTAAGGCAAAATCCTCCCTTTTCTTACTATGAAACAAGAACTGGGTAATGAGCTTTTGTAAGGAAAAATTTACTGCTCTTCTCTTCCACCAGGTGACCCTGTGTTCCAACACGGTGATGGAATACTACCGGAAAATGCTGGTGGACCTGGTGGGCCTGGAGGGTATTGGCAAGGAAGTGGCATCAGTGATCATCTCAGCCAGGTACCTGCACTCTCCCAGCACACTGCCTTGCACAGGGTTTGCTGGCTGCAGCTCCCAAGGAGAAGTGTTGTTTAATGTTCTCATGTTGTGACCAGCTGGACATGAGAACAGCAGCCTGTGGTGAAAAGCTCCCCTGCTCACAGCCCAGCACAGTCCTGGGCCTTTTTCTAGAGGGACCAGGAATGGTATCATTTATCATGGCCTGATTTTTGGTGCTTGAGCTGGAACAAATTTCCTGAGGGCCTCCTCCCCTTCTTCCTGCAAGAGATGGAGTTGTGCTGCCTTGTGAGCACCCTACATTAGTTTGGGACACACCAAGCAGCCTGCTGAGAGTCAGGGTCTGGTTCTGTTCATGAGGGCACGTGACAGTGGGGAAGTGGCTCACAGCCAGAGTGGTGAGGGCAAGATCTTAAGAGGGGAAAACAGCCCCTGATGTGGCAGGTCAGCTCTAGTTCTTCTCCTTCCCTCTGCTTCCCATTTTGATCTTTAATGTTCTCGACTTAAACCAGAAGTTGTTCTTGCTGCAGCAGAATCCCATCCTGCCGTGCTGCTGTGGGCGTCAGTTTATTGACAAGAGGGATGCAGTTCCCTGGTGCTGTTCCCTCTCCCAGGCAGAGGCATGCAGTCAGTGCCTGGGCTGCAGTTTTGTCAAGCAAGTGCCAATGGGGACAGACAGTGCATGGACCTGTGAAGGACTGAGGGAGCTGTAGGAACCGGGAGGGGGTGATCACCCACTCTGTAGTGGTGGTGGTGTCCCGTGCCCTCCAAAGCTGGGGCAAACAGCTGAGTTCTCAGGCAGGGCAAGAGCACCATGGGAGAGAAGGGAGTCATTTTTACTGAGACACTGGAGTCATGTGTTCCTTGAGCCTTACTGAGCACTGATCCTTGTTGGGAAGGCTCCTCCAGAGCTCATGGATCACTAGGACTGTTACAGGAGTCCTTGCAAGCCTTTTGGGGTAAAGGAGGGGCTGAGGCAGCTGTGAGACAAAGTGCTCTGCCTGGAGCACTTGGCAGCCTCCGGGTGCTGCCTCTCGGGGTTTGCCCCTCCTTGACAAGACGTGTTTGAGTGGGAAGGCTTTGAAGGCCATTTATCACTGTAGGGCTGTTAAATGTCTGTCTGACAGTGACAAATGTGTTATCTTTGGGGGTAAATGTTCTCTGTTCTCTCAGTATCTCTGATTCCCTTGGGGTCATCTCTTTTTCCCAGATGTCTGGTTCCTGAGCTGAAAGTGTACCCCCAACTCATGCGGTGCAATAAGTGCCACCTGAAGGAGCCATATGAGAAGAAGTTCATTATTATGAATAAAACCGACATTCCTGCCTGCTACGGGCTTATCCCCCAGGTTTGGCATTGCATCCACCTCCTCCTCTCAAATATTATTGAGGAGATTATTGGGGGAAAAAAGGGTTTGGATAAGACTTTGCTGGTTTCTATTCAGTCTTATTCAGGATCCTACCTGAATGTAAACTTTAGGAGGCAGTTTAACCTCCTGAGGAAACAGTTTATGTTCTAGTCTTCAGGGTGTTTTCTGGTGGGAGATCTTAGAGGGTTGTGAAAAGCTGCTGCATCCACAGTCACCAACGCCTGTGCTGGCAGACTCCTTGCAGGACCCCCTGAGAATGCTAAGCCTGCAATTCTTGCATCTTGTTTGTGCCTTTTACCTTTGTCCTGGGGATTTTTAAAACGTGTGTAAGTTGCTGTTGCAGTGCATGTTAAGGAGTTTAATTCAGAGGTCCCTCTGAAATTGCATTTGATTCTGTCCCTTCTAGAAACGCAAGGAGAACTCTCCTGTGTTGTACTCCAGCCCCAAACCCTGTGGGATTGTCCAGCCTCGCAGCACTGCAGAGATTCCAGTTACAATTGAAGTCCAAACATTGGGCAATCATCGCACCAAGGTTCTTATTGGTGTGTTTGGGGATGAAAGAAGCCCACTGGTGAGTGCAAGGGGAGATGTGTGCCTTTGTGCAACTCCTCCTGGCAGGGTGCAGACTGTACAGGGATTCTTCTGGGAAAAACAGGCACAGGCTGCTGTGGAGAAGGACAGAAGGGATTGGTGGCATAAACAGCTCATGGTGTTTATAGGTGGCAATCTCAGCATCCGACACAGAATGTAGTTCATCTAAGATGGAACTGAATATAATTTTAATTAATTAATCTTTAAAATGCTATTAATTTTGGAAACGTCTGCTTTAAAATGTCTTGTCATCTCTCTGAGCACAAAAGAGGATGTCAGAAGACTTCTGGGAACCTTGAGCTTTCTGCAAAATAAAGGAAAGCTGGCATTTGAAAAGTAGTTGGAACTACTTTTTTAAACTTTTATTTAAACATATGGAAATGATGATGCCAAATTCCCTGGATGGCACCAAACATCTGAACCTGGGCCATTGTGGCACTGCATGTAAATCAGTCAACAGGAAGGCCAGGCAGTGCAGGCTGTGCCAGGAATCCTGAAGTTTGACAGAACAGTTGTTTTCAACGGTCAGGCTGCTTACCTTAAAGAGGAAGAGTTTCTCCCCACCAGAATAACCAGTTGTTTAACTGTCAGTCTGGTATTAACTAGAGATTTCTTGCAAAGCTCTTACCTTTGGGCCAATCATTTGGAGTTTGAAAGTTTCTCTTACTTTAATCCTTTTTAATTTGGAGGCGAATATATATATTTTTTTTCCTCCAAAAGTCCAGCATTTCAGCTGAAGAGTGGTAGCTGTCCCTAAAGAAATAATTGAGCAGGGTTAAGCTGTTTAAACTTCTTTAAGTTTTCCTGTTGTGGTTTGTTTTGGGGTTTTTTTTAATCTTTCTTGCCTGCTTCCTGGAACAGAGAGCAGAAATACTGAGCTCTGGACAGCTGGCAGAAATCTACGGAACTCCAAGGGTGATAGAGTTTGGCATGATCCCGGCTCTACAGCCTAATCCACAAAGTCTTACCCTCTTCAACAAAGGTCTCGTCCCTACAGAATTCAGGATAGAGATTGTAAGTATCTGTGGGGCTGTTTT